TTTTCTCACTTGTCCGCTTTCTGAGAATTCCGGTCTTTGGTGAGTCTTCCGATTCTTAGCTGACAAATCCGGATGAGTCTTACTTCCGGGTGAGAAGGAGATCCGCGCTAGTCTTCCGATTTGAATGACTTAGCCTTCAGCGGGTTGTAGCGAGACATCCGGTTCTTATGTAGTCTTTCCGGATCTGAGGATTTTTATCTGATTGAGAAATCCTTACTTGTTTCTGACACTTCCGATCAAGATATCCAATTTTCATATCACTGAATTTGATCAAGTCTTCAGGCATCGAAACGCTTAAAGAAATATCACAGTTTTATTGGAAAACTCAAGAACTTGGTTTTAACAATATTTCTAAAAAGAAAAATTACATTGAATATTGGGGGAGACCTAAAGTCCCTATTACATAAATCATCATCACAATCTATAATATTTTTCCCAACAGGGCTGGGTAATATTTATGGGTGTTTTGGAGTTATGGATTTGGGTTATTGTGAGGGAAACATGGGCAAGAAGTAGGGGCTGAAGGTGGGTCATGGTTTTTGGCTCTTTGTGGGTGTTGTATTGGGATTGTGAGGTTTATTTGGGAAAGAAATGAAAGGAAGGAAGAGAGGGTTTTATTGGTTTATTAAAAGGCTTAAAAGAAGGAAAATAACAACACACAAAAAGGTTTTGGTTTACACACTCTTATTTTTGGCCATGGCTAAAATAAATGTAGGAAAAACTTTATTTTGAAAATGAAATATTTTGGATGCTTAGGGAAGGTATGGGGAGTGTGGGATCAGCCTAGGGTTGGTGTAGGACAACCATGGTGTTGCGTTGGGTTCTGAGACAGGAAAATGGAGAAGGTTCAACCCAATTAATGTCACCACACTTGGGCTTTATTCCCCTGATCCGTTTTTCCCTTGAAGACTACGGAAAGTCTTTGGGCATGCTCCTGGATATATATCAACCATAGTCTTAAAAGCAACATTTGTACAACTTCCACTATCAATGATGAGAGAGCACACCTTTTCTTCGATTGTACAACGAGTATGAAAGATATTCTCTCACTGTGTTTCTTCTTTTGGACAAGTCATCGAACTTTTGTTAGAATAAGTGCCCTTCACTTGAGGGGGTGAATAGTGAGGCACGAGAATGTTTATGAATTTTCACGAAATAAAAAAATGCAAGGATAAAGTAAAGAACGGAATTAAAAAGCGTAAGGAAAGGACACACCTATATACACTGGTTCACCCCCAACGTGTGGCTACGTCCAGTCTCCCGAGAGACTCTCTCGAGCTACACCATTTCTGTTAAGCTTACCGGTGCTTAACAAACGGTTATAACCTGAGAACTCGAGTCCCACGAGCCTCAATACACTTGTTAGGAGATGTCGCACTCCAAGACTTCAACTCGAAGGAATATACCATTCGTTCATACAACCAAGGGAACAAACCTCCCTTAAAGTGTTTACAACACTTAATCACTCAAGAACAAAACTCTCTCAAAGAGTAGAATATGAGTAAACTAATTTAGATCAAGAACACACTCAATTCCTCAAGAAATGTCTCTAAAAAGCTATGTAAAAAGTTTATGGAATGATGCAATGTAAAGCTATGAAATGTGTGAGGAATGGTTGATAAAAGTAGACCCAAAAGACCCTATTTATACCCAAAAATGATGTGTAACGGATGGGAGTTTATTGGGGTTTAATAACATGATTTGTGGAAATCAAATAAAAGTTGATCTATAGGATTTTGGCCTAACATCGATGTTCATATAGTGAACATTGTTGTTTTGGCTTTGACTTTCTTTTAAAAAGGGCTAACGGACATCAAAACATCGATGTTTAAAAGTCTACATCGATGTTGGGGTGATTGACTTTCAAAAATGGAAAGATTTTGTCATTTAATTTGAAAACATTGCTGTTCAACAATGAACATCGCTGTTCAAAAACCTACTGCCCAAGACTGACGTGAGCTAACCTGGCCAAAACATAGATGTTCAAAGTCCAACATCGCTGTCCAGACATTGATGTTTAAATCCCTACATCGCTATTCTAACATCTATGTTCAAACTCCTAAATCTATGTTGGGTTTGGTCGCCAGAACCATGGTTTGGCAGCTAGCGACAAAAACCGATGTCAAAAATCAAAGTTCTCCAAAATGAAAACCAAGTGTTGGAAACTCTTATATAATGTATTTTATGTAGAAACCAAGTATAAAAACTTAAAAACCACGTCATTAAGGTAAAAACCACGGCTAGCCAAGTTTATGTCGTTTCACATGGTTTTCACTAAAAGACCAAAAACGAAAGGTTGTTTTTAATAGGTTTTTGTTGGAGAACTATTTTGACATTCCCAGAAGTAAAAACCAATCTTAAAATATTAAAAACCAATTGATTTATTAGGATGCCAAAAACCAACACCGATAACCAGCGCTGAATGCCAATAACCAACACCGAAAAACAAATGTTATGGTTTTTGAGAAATAATCATTTGGTAAACCTTTAAATGTGTTCAGAAGCAAAACCAATATAAAAACCCAAAAACCATTTGGCCAAAATCTATGCCAAAAACCAAACGCCATAGCCGAACGCCGATAACCGATGGTTATGGTTTTTGGTTGGGAAAGAACCAGGGGTTTTAGAAACTTAAAATCATTTATGAAAACAATCATTTGATGCATGAAAAACATTTTTTGTTTTGAGCCATGACTTAGAGAAATTGAATGAGCTTGTTACAATAAAAACCTAAGTCTTTAGACGACGTCTTCAAAATGCCAATGTCATCGTCTTTAGAAACGTCAATGCCTTTCTTTTGCTTTTTGTTCCTTCGAAGAAATTTTGCTATGCCTTTGAATATTTTCATTTTGTTCCATATTGCCGACGGTTTGTCAATATCAAAACCTAAACGGAAACAAGCATTGTCAAAAACAACACATCAATGTGAAAATGCTTTCTAACAATTTCCCCCTTTTTGATAATGACAAATCAAGGCGCAGATATGCAGGACAAGTTGGGTTTTAAAAGAGAGAGCAATGGTAATTCCCCCTATGTCTTTGAAAACAATATTCCCCCTCTAAAAGCCTAACTCTCTAAAAGCCTGAGGTCCTACAAGTGGTATCAGAGTCTAACTCTCTACAAGCCTTAACGGGTTGGGAGAACGATTTATATTTCTTTTGAGAATGTTGAGCGCAGGATATTTTAGCGAAGGACACTCTTTAACAAGGCCACCACTCTTTAATGGAGTAAATTACTCTTATTAGAAAGAAAGAATGAGAATCTTCAGTCAATCTGTTGATTACACACTATGGATGGCAATCAACAATGGAGTTTCTCTCCCAATGAAGAAGGTGGGCAAGAAAAGAGTAAAGAAACTCGAGGAGTAGTACAATGAAGAAGATATCAAGAAGGTGGAACAAGATGCAAAAGCTCTTAACCTTTTACTTTGTGCAATTGACGCGCCAGAACTTCAAAAGTTCTCCGGATATCAAACGGCTAAGAATCTATGGAATGACATTCGTGAGAAATACGAAACTCCGCAAGGAGAAAAAGAAGCAACCCATATTTGCCTCATGGCCAATGAGAAAAAAGAGGTAAGTACTTCTAACTCTCCTTCTTTTGAAGAATTACAAGATGCTTTTATAGAACTATTTGGTGAATTCAAGAAAGCTTCAAAAATTGCTAAAGGGGCTAAGGCAAACTTCATGATTTGGAAGAAGAAAATAAGTTTTTAGAAAATGATAATTTTGACCTTAAAAATAAGATTAAGGCAACGAATGAAGCTTCTTCCTTTGACCAAAGTTCTACTTGTTCCTCTTGTGGGTCTTTAAAAGTAGAGAATGTAGAA